AGGTTTGATCACTATGCTGCTTGTTTGATTGTTTGTTTGTTTTGCAACAGATAAGTATCATGTCAACTTGTTTGTGTTTGTAGGTTTGATCACTATGCTGCTTTGTGTGAGTTACTTCCAGCTGGTCTGCCATCTCTAGCTTTCTGTCTTGGAGCATTAAATAAAGGTAAGTGTGGATTTGCTTTGTGTGTGAAAGTCACGGCACGGAAATGACGACGACAACCGTTAACCAATCACAGTGCACGAGACCACTGGTCAGGCAATCATACAGTAATGCTTGTCATGTTTGGTAAAATTTTCATATCATACAAAACTTCTTGAAATAATTCCATAGACTTCATTTCCGATTTGATTTGATTCTCAAAATAAACCACTGAATGTCCAGGGGTGGGAAGGGTCAAACGGATATCCTGACAGGGGTAGGGGTCGGAAAGAAAAATGAACATCTTCATTCCTGAGGGGAGGGGGATGGGGAAAAAGATGTTAATTCCAGTGCCACAATGCAATCATATCCATGTTGGTTCCACCGATCTAATCAAGGGGAAATGTATAATTATATATTAGAAAGAATGGTTTTTTTTTTCAAGGTTATATGAATGAAGCAGCACAGCTTCCAATCAAGAGGGAACTTGGCCTTCGTGATAATTTTGAGATTGAAGTAACACGTTTCCCGAAGCGGTAAGCATCTGTCACGTGATTTTTTGGTTCGTTCCTTTGAACCCAGACCTGTCACACAACCGTACATTTCTTTGTAATTTATAGTGTTTTCAAAAAAAATGTACCCCCAAAATATCAAACATATTACTCTCAAATTTTCAGTAGTTACTAAATAAGACATTCTCTTTCGATTTCTGGAGTCGGGTTGCTTGTAGCTTGAAATTTTTTATGCTAATGGGGAAAAAACGTACGTACATAAGGATCGGCCTGTAACGCTCTGCCGCCACGCTACCCTTTCTACCAACCATCAGAAACGACCATCCTTATTATCATAACTGGTGCTAGAATTTTCCATTTCAAGTCCTTAGTACGCATTACAGTCAAAACTGCTCAAGCGTACCCTCCTAGATTCCATTAATGGTTTCATTATTCGAATATGTAAACCTATTAATTCTTATCGAGAATACGAAGACTCGGAATTAAAAAAAATAACCAATTCAAAACTCGAATTCTGATTGGAAGTGTTCTATTCTTGTTCAGGATAACAGGATAAGGGATATTTATCAAGTCATAATGGCGAGGATGTCTGATGTAAAAACCATGGGGCTTATCTGTAGAATCAGACTTCCTCCATTTCTAATACAAGGGCGGATACAGGGGGGGGGGGMAAAGGGGGGCTGAAGCCCCCCCTTCAGCAGAAAAAAACGATGCTTTTTTATATTGTTTTCAGTTGTGTTGACGGAAGAAACTCAATTAGCCCCCCCCCTTAACTCAATTAGCCCCCCCCCCCTAAAATTTTGGCTAGATCCGCCCTTGTAATAATCATATTGTTCCACAGATACACGCCTCCCACAGCAGAGTTTCCTGGTCACATGATATTCACACTGGTCTTCAAACTGAAGAAAGCACTCTATCGATTGACAGGAATTGAGCACCTGTAAGTGAGCAAATCCCATGGAGTTTACTTCTGTTTGTCAGTGGTGCAGATAAAGCGGAGGAGGAGGGCGATAGAGGTGGATTTTGATTGGTGGGGTTGCACTTCGTACTAAAACTGAGGTGATAATTATTTGCTTTATTTTTGGCACAAAATGAAGTCGAACATTTGTCCATGGAGACGTAACAGTAGTAAAATAGTCTAAAATATTGAGTGTGGACCTTTTGGGAAAAAACATGGCTCAGTATTGTTCCAGCCTTGGCTAATGTCGACCAAGAAAGGTCTATATTTGTCAGAATAATACTTCATTGCTCATACTGGGAAAGGGGTTTTGGCGGGAACTTTCGCGCCTCGTGTCATTCGTAAGATGGTTTCGTTTATCCCTTCGTATGATATTATAAGGATAAAAGACGTGACCGCTATGTTGGATGACATAACAAAAGACACCAAGAGTAAAGGTTTTGTCAAAGTCAACCAATGCTATGACGTCACAATCACCCCACTAATGGGACTTCATGAATTTCTTCACACTTCGTTTTGACTCTTTTTTCAGAGAGGATGGCTGGCTTCTTAGTCGTCAGTTGAAGACACGTTTCTTGAGCTATCAGCATGTTAACACTGCATTTAACTATTCAGAACAGTAAGTATCGTCCTTTTTATTTCTGCGTCTGTCCATCTGTCTGTCTGTCCATCTGTCTGTCTGTCCATCTGTCTGTCTGTCCATCTGTCTGACTGTCTGTCTGTCTGTATGACTGTCTGTCTGTCTGTATGACTGTCTGTCTGTCTGTCTGACCGACTGACAGACTGACATTCCGAATGACGTCCATTATAGTAATGCAAACGGTTTGAAATTATCTCTCTTCGTGATCACAGGGCTTTGGATATTTTGAAASAACTAAAGAACGAGGTAGTGGAGCCTCTAAGCGAAGTGTTCGACAAAACTGTCGTAGACGAGTGGGTGGAAGATAAAATTGACAGTAACATTCGTAGAGCTAAAAGACGGTATGACGAACTCAAAAAACTCGAAGCATCGTTTGGCTGAAACTTGGGTATTCCTCGGGGGCTGAATTAGAGGGTCGTGAAGCACCCCTTTTAAAGGACGGGTCCTGAATCATGTAACATAAGGGTAACAGGGGGGTCGAGGTATTTAATCAATGTGAAAAAGGGGAGGGAGGGGGGGGGCAGATACTAAATTAAGGTGACTGGTTACCTTTAAGGAAGAATTGAAATGTTTTTCACTAACTGCGATTTTTTAAAGTGAAGGTTAATGCAGATTCTAAATATGAAAAGAAAAAAGGGGTTTCCCGAGATCGTTTTCGAGATAGTCAGCATTTAATGGGCGCCTACTCTCGAGTTTTTTAAGCAAAAATCATGAAAATTAACATAACTTGATTTTTTAAAAAGAGATAACTAGCTAAAAACTATGAAGATATAGAAATATAGATAAGTTATAGTGCTTGGGAACGAGGTTATTCCGCCCGGAATAACCTCGTTCCCAAGCACTATAAACTATCTATATTTCTATATCTTCATGTATTTCATTAGTGCCATGCGGTCCACATATTCTCATCTAGCTAAAAACTAGTGTGAGCTGCGTCGGTGTTTCTAATGAAACAGTAATGATAAAAGGGTAAATCATACACCGTGAAAAGTAAAGTGCTTAGTAAAGCTTTTTTTAAACGGGATGTAGAATCTATCATTCTATCAATGAATCCTAAGTCAAAACATATACTAGATAAGCCTTGTATACCTGGGAAGGTAACAATCGAGACTGCAAGGCTCCTAGAAATGGAATAGCATGTGTAGCGGTGCAATATTCCTGGGTTGGTTGTACGGAGGGTGGAGAGTGAATAAACTTATTGGACATCATCATCGAGTTATCCACTGGATAAGAATTTATCCGTCGGATAGCGCTATTCAACCTTCGTACAAAGGGACCCTGATGTATAAGCATTAATACTGAAGTCAATTCAAACGTACAGCACTTGGACTGTCTAAAAGTCCTCAGCACCACTATTTAATAATTGCAGCCGAGATGCAGATCTTAATCACTGTTTCGCGTCAGACTCTACGGACGAGTTTTTCAGTTGAATAAATTAATGCAACAAATCAATCAATTGAAATTAACAGAAACTGGCGCGAGTCATCCACTCGCAACTCAGTTGCTTGCAAAAATAAGCCGTACATTAAGTTTTTGGGGAAAAGTCGAGTAGTCGATTAGTGGCAAGTCTAACCAGCACTGGACAGCACTGGTAGAGTGCATGGGGCATATATCCGTGAAAAAGTAAAATTTTGAAAACAAAATTGTACAAATTAGTGCAAAGTTTTGTAGGTCGACGGTCTACTGAGGTCTACTGAGCTTACTAATCCGTGCAAATTTGTGAATTTTCTTACAATGCTTTTCACGAACATATGGTACGCACTCTAAGCATTAAGCTTAGCTTTTATAGCACGATCTGTAGAGACTGCGGAAGCCCATACATCGGGCAAAAGTATGACAACATTTATTGTATTCGCATATCTCTATGCATTGGCTTTTTGCTGCCAAACGAAACTTTACACGCCTTTTTTGGTAAAACCAGCCAGCTTCACATCGAAATGCGTCGGTTTATCGAACATAGAATATTCGAATGCATTATAAATGTGGTCATTCTTTTGAGCGTTGCACTGTAATATAAATAAAATTAGATTGATGTTTTAATAGTATATAGCATATAGTATATAAAATGTAGTATATAGTATATAATATTTTTAGCATTCTAATTTAGATTAGTATTTTAGAAAATTATAGGATAATTTTATGGATGTATAGTTTTGTTTGCATAAGAGGCATTTGCTAATAAAAGCTCTTAATTAATTACTGGGATACCTGTGGTATTTAGCAAAATTGAATTGAGGACCATAGTTTAGCTGATGCGCGCGTTTGCCATCATGCGACAGGCTTTGGTTGACCGCTTTGAATAACGGGGATGGGATAAAAGCGATGACAGTTCACTCAGGTTGAACTAACAATGGCAAGAGATAACCTGCATGCCACCATTCACCTGGCACTTTAAACAGTACATAACCAAATAACTTTTTTCGTAGTTTTAAGGAATAGAAAGTTTTCACCATCACATGGCAACCAACGCAAAGCTTCTATTCTTTTTCTCTCCATTTTTTCTTTCCTTTTTTTATTCTGTTCCTTACACCAAAGACAAAACTTATTGAGAAACTTTCCTTCAGTTTTGGACAAATACAAAACACAAAATTGTTTTCTTTAATATTTTTTTATTCACACATTTTCACACCAGTATAGCACTTGAACTAGACGAAAGTTTCGGACTCATTTCGGCAATGTATATGCGAGATATTCCATAACTTGGCCCAGTTTAATGATCTAGCAGTTGCAAAACTGAAAATTCTTTTATATATAGATGTGGATACCGCTCTTAATATACCATTTCAAACTTCAAACCATGTTTGTTACTATTAAAGTGCCTATAAACCCTAACTCAATAAGTTCAATATTGATTTTACATGAAGAAGAAGATTTATTTGTCGTCTTGGCGTACGTAGAAAAGATCATTCATGTTAGGGATTTATACCTAACGAAAACAACTTACTATGATTTTACATGAAGTGAATAGTTGAATGGCAAATTATTTTTTATATCATTTGAGTGATGTATCTTGGAGATTTCAAGGTTTATACTTGCAATATGTTAATGAGTGTGATGGCATAGGAAGCATTTGAGTTTATTTAGCATCATTTGTAAATAGAAACACTGATTACCATGAGAAAAAATTTTCAATAACCTAAAGTGAGACAATTATGTTTTATACAGGAAGTTTTACTGACCCAGAAAAGTTTTGTATATTTTAATGAATGCCTCCTATGACATCACATGCATTAATATTTTGAAAAAAATTAAATCTTGAGGTTTGATGCATCACTAAAATCATTTTTTTTAAAAACATTTTACCATTCAACTATTAACTTCAAGTAGAATCAATACTGAAAATATTGAGTTAGGCGTAAGGGGCACTTGATTTCAGCATAATTCAAATATGTTTACAAATTCCCTTGGAAAGCATTCCCTGCAARAATCCTTTCAGTCCAATTCTACCTTCAAAACTATAGAATAAAACTTTGTTAACTAGGAAGTAAAAGCTCTATTTCGAACCTTAGTCCAACAGCCAACTATCCTTACTTTCCTACATGTCAGCTAAGATAGCTCAGAATTGACTTTCTTTATTAATTGTACTAAGCCTGTTCAATCTCCATCAGTTTCTTGACTCCATTGTACATGTCTTGTACACATTGTACTTCAGACAGACCAAGACGTCGACGGTTACTGATGTCAAATACACCAGCATCTTCTC